GGAGTTAGTACAAAAGAAGTGACATGGGTTATTTCTCTTCTTTTCTGATACGAAAATCATTCAAATACAGGTTTTGCCGCAGAGTCCTTTTGTTAGTAAAAGCCTGGCTTAGCGGTCAAAGTTAAGGAGGTTCTTTCCTCACACTGAAACGTCGGCAAAACTAAATTCATTCATGTGGCAGAAAAGTAATGCAAAGTATACCACTTATTCCCAAAAATATACAAGTTCAATGAGAAATAGGGCCAATTGATCTCTGTAGCTATTTGAACACGTTGAAGTGAAGGGGGGGCATGCTGGTGGCCCATGATTCTCCATGACTGTCTGACCAGGACGCCACAGAAATCTGTTTTTGTCCTTCTCTACCATTTAAATGGCAATGCCATAAGTCTGAAAGCAAGTCAGACATGGTGGCAAAGTAAAACACATCGCTTTGGAATAAATGGAAAGTAAATTAGTCAAATTACAACAAAGAAATAGAAACTGTTAAGAGTTACAGGAGGTAACTTTCCTCTGGGCTTTATATATTTTTTAGTTGTATAACATCGAACAGCGCGACAAATGACATCATACACACTCCGCTTTGGTTTTAAAAATATATAAATCTAAAAAATATAACCACGATGTCTAAGGGACAGTGATTCGCCTACATGTTATGAATTCTGGTGTACCATAAAGAATACATTATGAACAGTTTAGTTTGCCTTCAAGTAATTTGCCCATAGGAAGACGTTACTTGGATATAAACTAACAGAATATCTTCAGAACAGCTCCAAATGACAAAAAACTCATATGGGTGAATAGAACATGATGTAATAACGTAAAATCAAGGGCCCAATGTAAAAAAAAAAAACTATGTTCCCCTTTAAATGGCAAGAATTGTCCCTGAGAAGCTGCTGTAGCCCATCTGCTTCAGGATTTGGCATGTTGTATGTTTGGAGAAGATATTCCTTCTACTATCTCTTTCCTAATAGGTGAATTTTTGACTGGTTAAAATAAAGTATTCAGGGCAGTTCGAAACTATATTACATAAGAATTGTGCTGCTTCAGGTGGCTGCACGTTGGAGTGGCTCTGCTTGATTTTTACTGATATCTGTCCTTTTTGGATACTTCCATAAGTACTTATCTAACCATAGCAAGTTGACACCCGGGAGCATTTAATTTAGATCTCTAAAGCTGAAATAATACTACAGCTAATTCTATAAATACCAGCTGAGTTGAAAAGGAGGTGCCAGGGATGCAGAGCAGGAGCATGGAGACGAGAGAGGGACAAGAAATTTAAGCCATCTGTTCCATCAATCAGTATTGGCAATATGAGGTTTTTTGGAAACAAGTTAGAATTCCAAGACCTCGCAAGGACCCAGCAGAATATCGGCGATGTAGCATTATGTGTTTTACGGAAACGGGGCTGTGGACCATATCTCAAACTCCAACGTCTCTCTGCCAGGCTTTCTGACCACACGGACAGAGAGAGGTTGAAAGAAGACTAGAAAACACAAAGGAGGTGGGTTGCCAGTGCTTGTGAACCACAGATTGTGTCATCCAAGACATGTTCATGTGAAGATTTGTCACTGCAGCCAAGATATTGAGCTGTTGGCAGTTGGGTTTCAGCCCAGAGATTATTTGCCCAGAGACTTCAGCAATGTTCTGTTAGTAACCGTTTACATTCCAGCTTCTGCCTGTGCTGATACTGCATGTGAGGTAATAATTTACAGTATGCTGTGCTACAGACACAAATGCATTTGTGGCAATAACAGGTGATTTTGATTGTGCCTCACTCTTACTGCCAACAGTTTCAGCTGCTGTACCAGGGAAAACACAACTTTGGATGTGTTTTATGTAAATGTCAAGGACTCCTAAATCTCTAAAGTAAGGCCTTCTGTTGGGAAATAAGATCACAATCTTGTTTTTCTCTGCTCCGAGTATAAGCCAGTTTATGAGGCAATCTGCATTAAAAATAACTCGTAAGAAGATGGTTACAGAAGGCTGTAGATTCTCTCTAAGGTTGTTTTGAGGCTACAGACAGCCACATGGAGAGGGCATTAGCACAATGACTGATTGTGTTACCAGCTACATAAACTGTGTAGATAACACCATCCCTACTAGAACAGTGAAATGTTTCTCAAATAATAAACCATAGCAACTGCTCAACAAGAAGAAAGAAGCCTTTAAGAAAGGAGGCAGGGAATCGATGAGTATACAGAAGCAACAAACTGAATACATAGAACAGGTTCAGTTCAGGAACAAGCTCAGCATCTTTCTCTCCTGCCCACAGTCATATGGACATCCTGCCACCCTCTGCCATTGACTCTCCTGTTTCTCCTGTTTGTCTGCAAAATTGGAAGATGGTGCTGCTCCCTCTATCTTTCACCTGTTTCTGAAAGCCAGTCCTGTTCTCTGCAGAAATACTCAGACGACTCTGCCATCAATGTGTGCATCAAAGATGGACATGAAGCAGAGTATAGAGGTGGATGGCTTTGTGGCATGCTGTGGAAACAATCGCCTGATGTTGAAAGTCAAAAAAATGAGGGAGATGATTGCAGATTTCAGAAGAAACAGGAACAAGTTGAAACCTATGAACATCATGGGAGAAGTTAAGGGGGTGGAGTATGAATACCTTGGTGCTCACCTAGACGACAAACTCTACTGGAGATGCATTGTGATACCATCTACGAGAAGAGACAGAGCAGATTGTATTTCCTAAAGAACTTTAGGTCCTGCTGTGTTTGCAACAGAGTGCCACATAGCTTCTATAAGTCTGTTTTGGAGAATTTGATCTCTTCCTCCATTGAATTTAATTTGAATTTTCTTTTATTGTCATTACACTGTCCAAGTAAAAAGCAACGAAATTCACTCTGCATTTAACCCATCCTCTTGGGGAGCAGTGGGCTGCCATTGTGTGGGGTAAGGGTCTTGCTCAGGGACCCAGAGTCTGTGGTAGAGGGGCTTGGACTCAGAACCGCTAGATTCCAAGTGCAATGCCCTAATCACTAGGCCACCACTGTCTCATCTGCTCGGGTACCAGCATCACAGGAAATTACTTTAAAAAGCTCAACATGCTAATAAAGAAGACCAGCTCTCTTCTAGAAACTTCTCTGGGACCTCTAGAGTTTATTTCACCAACACTAATTCATAAAGTGAAGAATATTATGGACAACAGTAAGCATTCTCTTCAGAAGATTTCTTTAAACAACAAAGTGTCTTCTGTCAGAGGCTTTTTAAGACCTGATATATAACAAACTGTTACAGATTATGTCTGCCTACAGCTAACAAACACCAACAACTGGATTAAAAAAAAAGAAATCCCTATAAGATGCAGCCAAATTAAATTTTTCGTTGGGATTAACAAAGTGATTAGAATTGTATATTTCAGTTTTAATCTAATAGCACAGGGTTGGCAAAAGTTATCCCTACACTAAACTCGTTGCAGACACTTGTTTCTGTAGCATTCTCTTTTGGGTAGTTTGAGTGACTTTAGCAAAATCGATGTAGGACTCATTTTGGCTCCTGTCATTTTAATATTGCATAGGGAGGTTGGAAATAGCAGTGAATGTGTGATTACTGGGGGTTGGTGGAAAATTGGGAATATTATAATGTGCTAGTCTTGATTATATGGAAGAGATGCAGTTGAAAGATCCAACTTTCACATTTAGCTGCACTTGTTTGTGGTGAAAGACGAGCAGGCGTTACTGGAGAACAGACAGGGAGAATATTGCAGCCAAGGCCTCTGAAGGCTGTAATTTATAGCATTGTGAAAGAACATGTTGCTTCGGGGGACTTTTAGAGGCTATGAAACATTTTTTTAGCTGCAGAGATGCACTGGTTGCACCATGATAACACTGTCTGCTGTCAAGATAGTTGTGCAAGGCCAGAAGAAAAATTATGGCAATAATGTTAAACTAAATTAGTATTTTAAAAAAGTTAGAAAAGCCCAATTTTTTTGCAATATTGTGGTTTCTCTTCTAACATCTAAATAAAGCTTTTATAGAGGGAGCAGGCTAGCCACTGGAGGCCTGTTATTACTATAGGCACTTATTTCTAAAGAAGCTTTAGGTTTAAAACAAATGAAACCTTAGTGTAAAATGTCTGTGAGTTATCAACATTTTGACATTATTTGCATGTTAATTATAGTTTTGTTTTAGCACAACATAATCTCTGACCAGTGGGTGGCTTTGATTTACTGCTTGTTCCCGTTTGATCTTTTAAGGATAAACTTGTAAATAAATAAATACCTCGTCCATTTTATCTAGGAGAGAGAAATTAGATTTTTTGCAAGTGCTTAGCGGTAACACATTCATTTGTTCCATATTTACAGTATAAAAAAAAATATAGGGATTTGTAAAAGGTTTTAACTGGAACGCTGTGAAGTTACTCCACTGAAATTGAAAAAAAAAAAGAAATTACCTTCACTTACATGACAGTGATTTTGTTTTCCATAGATACACCTCAGCAGAGCCCAAGCAAACAAGTTAAGACTGATTGCTCAGTTGGTCTGAGTCCACTGAATTTCCAATGAAAACCTGCTGTATAATTTTGTATAAATCATGCAGAACTCTGGCATAAATCATGCATATAAAAAAATTGCAATGCTGCAGAAATCCTCTCCAGCCTTCCAGTTTTACTATGATCCTTTATTTTTTGCCTTATCAATTTACACACACACTTTTGTTCTGCCATGTATTGACTCCCATTGGCTTCCATAGATTTTGAGTCATTTTCACCCCTTTCTATGTCCTAACCCTAAAATTAACCCTAAACCTACCCATTACCAATGCCTCAATGCCACCCTAACCCTAACCCAACTGACACCTGGGCCCTAAACCTAACCATTAGCAAAATATGTTGTGAAGACCAGCAAAATGTCCTCACTTTACAACAACTAGTCCTCATTGTGATGGTGAAATTGGAAAAATGGTCCTCACTCTTGTTTCTATACAATTGCACACACACACACCCACACACAAACAAACATACACTTAAATCACTCTTTGTGTGGATTCCAGATGGCTACCCGCGGGAAGAGATTGTTTACAAGTGGAAGCGAAACTCTGTGGAGACTTCAGACCAGAAATATTGGAGGCTTTATCAGTTTGACTTCATGGGGCTCCGAAACACGACAGACCTGCTTAGAACAACAGCAGGTGAGTAAATGGTCAAGATATGGTTATGGAAAGCCCTTATGTGTCATTTCAAGCACAAAATTCATCAAATGGATGGCTTAGAATGGCGCAGTCAAAGCCTAGACTTTGATCCATCTCCGAATCTGAGGCAAAGATTGAAAATTGCTGTCCACTGCTGCTTTTCATTGATGTTGGCTAAGATGGATCTATTTAGATGTTCTAAATGGGCAAAAATATCTTTCTGGGTGCCAGTGTAAAGATGTTAGAAACCCAGCCCAAATGACAAGCAGCTGTAATTACAAGTAAATGTAAAAGTATTTTCCGGATTCTTGATCGTACATGACTGTAAGCTGCACCCACAAATTTTTATTTTTTATTGATTTTAACTGGAAACGTACATATATGCCACTGATATCTTCTGAACTTTCCCCCACCAATTGTGTAGGGGAGCTGTTAATTTTGCCCCAAAGTACTGATGAATAAGAATGCTCCTGTTGGCTTATTCACTGGCGGCAGTAAGAGCTTCTATTGAAAGATGGGGCTTATTCAGTTTTTGATTTCAGCTCTGCAGGAGGTGCACAAAGTCTCTTCATTGGTTCCACAGCTTTAATGTGGTAAATATCAAAATGTGTGAATTTGGGACATTTATTCACTGTCAATCCTAGTTATTCTTGTGGTAAAAAAAAAAAAATAGCGTTTTCTTCTTTGATTTCCAACACTAACTTCCGCTCCCTGGCAGTTAAAGAAAAATCCATAGAAAAGCCACACCTTCACATACGTAACCTGCATGGTTCAAAGCATGGGAAAAAAATAAGTGCTTATAATCCGGAAAATATGGTATTTCTATACAGACTTATTGGAACTGATAAAATACACAGCACAGCTTTGTCTTTTTTTTCTGATTAGAAAAAGTGTATTAAACTCTTTGGTTTTAATCTGGCAAAAGGTTTAAGGGGTATAAATATTCTTCCAGGGAACACTGAGTTGTTTCCTATACAAACCCTAATGGATGCGACTGGTCACCTAAAGTGAGCAGATTTCAGGCCCTTGAACTTTTTACTCCCTTAAAGCTCTACAGGTTATCATGTTATCATTAGCTCCATGCCTATAAATGTAATCATATCACTACAGTCTTGAAGCTCATAAGTATTCCCCTTTGGGTATAAGGCCAAATAGGTTTTTTTCACCGACATTAATCACTAGGATTAAAGATTAAAAAGGACGTTTAATTATTCACTCCTCCTCCTCTCCTGCATGTCTTTATGTGTGTTTTGCAGCTTGGAATCTAGAGACAACGGTAAAACCTTTCTGCTTCCACATGTGGACACAGCTCTTTATACATTTTTTATGTTTCTTACATGACCTTGAGAAATAAAAATTGATTCCAGCAGCTTAAATAATTGACAGAAATACAGGAGACACAGACCTATTGTTAACCCCTTTTAACCTTATTTAGAAGCTGCCTATTCCTCCTGGTAAATGCCATACGGTACTTTATCTTCAGAGAGACGGGGCCCAGATCTGCATAATGTGACCTGATTCAGCTTTCTAGCAGCTGAAACTATGTTCATGAATATTCCAGGAACAGGATTATGGTTTAGGAGATGGGGAAATGGGGAGTGGCATCTAATTATTGAGGAGCTCAGAGGAAATAAGTTGTATAACTTCATTTTGTTTGGCCGAATCCTACAGAATTGAGTTATTGGTTGTTTGTCGTAAAACTCCTATATCAGCGAAGACCAATAAACACATTCTCCAGTATTTTTATTTCTTGCTGCATTGCACACTAAGAATGCTAATTAGGATATAGTTTTAGATCTAATGTGGAACTAATGTCAGATTTCTGTCATTAATAAAAAAATAATAAGATCAGAAATAGCACCATGTGTATTTCTATTGGGATGGTGTACAAATGGACACAAAACAAGAAAACAAAATGTTAGAAATGTCCAAGAACAAAGTTGTACAAATAGCTACATCCTTAACCAGTGCTCTGTTACGGCACCTTTGTGTCCAATTATCCTTCCTGGTATGCATAATTTTTAACCTAAAGTCAATTTTAACTCTCAGTTGGAGCTGCACTTTTTCATCATTTAGTAGTAGTGTGTTGAAGGTTATAAAGGTAATGTAAACTCATTACAGATGGCTTAGAGTGATTGAAATCATACAATTCAGTGTCTCAGAAAATTTAAGATTAGCAGTTGGAAACCTAGGGTGCAACACATGTAGTCATGTTTAAAATATATGCTATGTTAAGGGTTCTTTAGCCTCTAAAAGGTCTCATTCTGTTCAGTAGACTACAATCTGCAAACAAGTGGAAGATTGAGTGTCCCAAAAAATCCTTAAAATCATCCACAAGTAGTGGAAGCATGAGATGTCTTTTCAGAGTGCTGTATTTTAGCATATTCACTGCAAGTTTGGTGAGAAAGGTGAGCCGGCAACATTTAGCCATTAATCTGGTTGAGCATCACTTGGAGCTGACTGAGGAAGACTGAGGACCTAACCGGCATATCTTTACATTTTAAACTTTAGGCTTAAATGTGTATCAGACAGGAGTTCATTTTCAATGTATCTTAATATCAGATTCAAAAATGGTTGTTTTTTTAGAAGGACCTTTATTTGGCTTTACTTGATTGTTAAAGGATTAGCGTTTAACTTAGAGCCCCGCTGAATTTACACGAACAGCCTTGCATTTTGACGGGGGTGTGTATACTATTTAGATCCACTGTAATGAGATCAGTTCTTGAATCGTTAAATATTTGTAATACATGAAAAGTTAACTGAGCCTCATTGATGTGTTAACAAATAATTTTTCTTGGAAACCTGATGAATTTGTCAAAATGCCACCAAACTAATCTCCTGCAGAGATGCTCAAAAATAACTGCAAACCTTCGCATTTACCTCATGCTGCTTAAGAAGATTGGCCATTTTCTCAATTATTACCTCCGTCCTGTTTCACTTTGTTGGGGCTCGATCAGCACATGCATGATGATTAGCTCCCGGCTAAAAATACCTGTCATTAATTTACATCGTGGCAAACTTCAAAAGTGTTCGTCTACACCCTGAATCTCCTCGAATTTGTTTCCTTCTTCTCTCATAAACACGTGCATATGGGGGTGTTTTATAATGAAGACAGAGTGGACACATCCCCGACCACTGCACCGCCTGGGACCCGGTTCCAAAGCCTTAGTAATTATCAATTCAGCAGCGGCCTCTTCAAACGGCCCCAGCGTGGAATCCTAAAGACTCTGGTGTTTTGCTCCTTCATCCCCTTGAAAATTCTTTCAAAGCAGTGGGAGTGAAGTTCTTTTCTAAATTTAAATTTGAGAGGTACTAATATAAATCATTTTCTTTCTTTCTTCATGTGTCCTCACTTGAATATTGAGCCTTACTCCCTTATGAAAAATCTAAAACTCCCTTGCCTTTTGTCCCGTGTCTTGGAATACATCTTTTCAATTTCTTCTTTATTTCAGCATATCCCTCAGAGCTTTTAGCCAGAACCCAGAAAACTGTAATTAAAGCACGCAGCATGTGGAAGAGTAAAGCACTCATGCAAAAAATGCGAAAGATTCATTTGTGTGGTCACTTGAACTTCACCCACGCTGAAACACCTGTGGTCCAGTTATAGTTTAGCCGTCATGAGCCTGTGAAGATTATAAAAACAAAATCATTAGATAAATAAATCTGTTGGCTCTAAAAGAATGTAGCTCTACCGATTTATTTATTTATTTTTTTAATCACCTCAAAATACACTGATAATCAATGTAACATGCTGTTGTGCAAATGGAATGGACAACAGGCGGATTTGGCAAGACGCACTCAATAAAGCAGTGGTTCTGCAGTTGGGGACCACCGACCACTTCTCATTACCTATTCTTTCTGGTTGAGGTTTTGGTCACTTTTGAATGTTGGATTGTGCTTTCACAATTATTGTAGCATGAGACAGTCTTTACAAACCACACAAGTTGCTCAGGTAGTGCATCTCATCCAGGATAATACATCAATGCGAGCTGTGGTGAGAAGGCTTGCTGTGTCTGTCAGTGTAGTATCCAGAGGTCGTAACAGGACAACAACCCGCAGTTGGACTGCTACCACCACCTTTGTGCAAGAAGAAACAGGAGGAGTACTGCCAGAGCCCTGCAAAATTTCCTCCAGCAGGCCACAAATGTATGTGTGTCATCACAAACGGTTGGAAACAGACTCCATGAGAAATGTATGAGGGCCTGACATCAGCAGAAGGGGGTTGTGCTCGCAACCCAGAACTGTGCAGAGTAAAAGGATTGGCTAATTCGCCATTTCTACCCCGTGCTCTTCACATATGAAAGCAGGTTCACAATGAGTACATGTGACAGACATGACAGAGTTTGTAGACACCATGGCAAGCAAAATGCTCTCAACATCCTTCAGGATAACCAGTTTGGCAGTGGGTCACTAATATTTTGGGGTGGAATTTCTTTAGAGCTCTCCATATGCTCGTCAATGGTAGTGTGACTGCCATTAGGTACTGAGATGAGGTTCTCAGACCCCTTGTGAGATCATATGCTGGCATGGTTGGCCTTGGGTTCCTTCTAATGCAGGACAGTGTTATACCTCATGTGGCTGAAGGAGTTCCTGCAAGATGAATGCATTGGAGCTATGAACTGGCCCACTCTTTCCCCAATTCTTAATCCAATTGAGCACCTCTGGGACATCACGATTCCATCCATTTACCGTCACGCTGCACCACAAATTGTCCAGGAGTTGGTGGATGCTTCAGTCCAGGCCGTGGAGGAAATCCCTCAGGAGACCATCCACCACCTCATCAGGAGCATGCCCAAGCATTGTAGGGAGGTCATACAGGCACATGGGCACCACACACAATACTGAGCCTCATGTTGACCAGTTTTAAGGATATTACATCAAGGTTGGATGAGACTATAGTGTGTTTTTCCTCTTCAATTTTGTGTGTGACTCCAGATACCAGCCTCCATTTATTAATAAATTTGATTACCATTGAGGATTTTTGTGTGATTTTTGTAGCC